CAACCGTCAGTAAAGACATGCTTTCATGACAAGGGATGCAGAATGGGGGATCCTCGAATTTTAATAAGAATCCATGTGTATATCGTGAACGACCAATACGACATCGTCCCACGATGACATCCTCAAATTTGGACTGACAGCCAAAGTATTTACAACCAACATCTTGTTTAGGTTCATGTAATTCATTTCTATATACCTACTTGGGTGTCCCACTGCTTTTACGTCATATACGAATGCAACATCTAAAATTAAGCTATTTGGAATGTTACCATTTTGTTGGGTGCTTAGAAACAATGTCAGTAATTCGGCCTGTAACAAGAAGGTTATATAATTCAATAATTTCGACAAAAAGTAGATGTCTGATTGATTGATGTTGGATTGCCTGGAGACAGGAGAAAGAGTCTGAAAAGATATGAAATTGTTTGTTTTGCTTGTTAACTGATATATTCCTGTGTTTTTAATATGATTTTTGGATTCGGATGTACAAAATGGAGAGTTATTTGGTAGCAATCTGGTAATGACATATTTCTAAATCCCACGAGAGTAGCGCTGTCAATTGTCTTGGATTAATCTTTAAACATTATTAGCTGTGCTTCGTAAGTGATTATACTCTTCCTGATCGATGCCAGCTGAAACACGATGTATAGATGTTGTTTTTCAAGTACCTTTTAATACTTTTATGAGATACCAGTATTTGAGTTCGGGTTATTTGATAGGTATATTTGAAACTGATCAAGTAGAAATGTAATCATCTAGAATTCATGGAAAGTTAGTGAAATGTGAAATCATTTTGTTATGTTTTAAGATATTTTATGGAGAAAATTGAAATTGAACGCGTTTAATGGCTCTTGTTTTGTTTTAATGAAATAAAACATATACAATAAAAGTTCCAAATATAGAACATGATCAATAACGGAATGGAAGACATCAAAGTGAACCCTAAAACCATCCATTTACTGGTTGGATCGTATCTGTAGCCAGGGAGATGTTGCTTCATCAACTGTTCCACATTTTCCTCTGCTCCAACGTGCCGATTCCTTCATTTGTACAACACTGTGGTGATGGCAAATGCAGGGAAATCCGTCAGTGTAACAAGCAGTTGAATCATATGGGGATTGGAATGTGCAGCTGTCATATTACAAAAGGTAAGTTGACGTACAGGACTTCCGAAACTGAATTAGCTTCAGTTTGAAGTTTACTTATTCCAACCAAATATATTAGAAATTAGCTGTCTGTGTTGCTGTTAAAGGGCAACTGGAAGCCATTAGCAGTTAACTAGCATTGATAGGTCATGACAATGGACAGTTCGACGCCGGGAATTAAATTACAGGCAATGGACAAGTAGTGGGAGAGCATGGTTTTACTTTCTTTGGTATGTGTATCACTTCTAAATGCCTTTCAAAGACCTAAACCTAACATATTTTACTACTCCAATCTTACAATGGTGACAATTGAAAATGTGATGATATCTCTTATCAGAGTTCTCAAATCACCATGAACCCCTCTGTTGGTAACTGCTAATATGAAGGCAATCACATATCATTATGATCTAATCAATAATACAAATATAGTTACAAAGAGATAACCGCCTGTAGCTCCAAATCTTGTGCAATTAGTGATGTACAACCATTCTTGTGTGTGTTTAGTTTTTGTTTTACGCTGCACTCAGCGTTGTTTCCACCTGCATGACGGCGGTCTTTAGATAATCCAGTCTGTATCAGCATCTTTACTTCGATCTACGAATTTGGGATACGATGGCAATAAGTCAACCAAGTCAGCGATCCTGACCACCCGATCCTGAACAGTCGCCTCTTACAACACGCAGAGGCGGCTGGGAAGCATAGCGGTTACAGAGTTCGCTCGTTACGCCTAAGACCCGGGTTCGATTCTTCACATGAGTACAATGTGTGGAACCCATTTCTGGCGTCGACCTCCGTTATGTTGTTGGAATATTGCTAAAAGCGGCGTAAAACCCAACTCACTCACTCACCCCTGCTCAGTCTCCACCTTTGTTGTCTTCTCAAAATTGTTGTACTTACATGTAGACATATATGCACTCTGCCTCATGACATCCATTCACCTGATGAAGAAGTAAGTATATTCTCCGAACCGTTGTGTTCCTATAAAGAAGTTAACATCCATAAAACTCCCTCTCTTATGTTAAGTTTAATTGTTTTTTCTTCGGGTCACAAGTCTGATATTCCAATATTGTAGGAACCGACGAAACTGGGATGCTAAAATGTCCAATTACGTTACCAAACTGTAATTTACTTTACCTTACAAACTAATTCATTGGACGTAAGAATCGGCCTCAAAAAGATTGATTTTACAACAACTTACCATATATATACTGAGTCAAAAAAGAAACTTTACAAAATGTAATTTGAAAAATAATGAATAATTTTCCTCTGATGATACATCTATGTATCCGAAATGGGATCCCTATCTTTCGACTCTAGAAAAACGTTAGCAAAACCAACTCAAACCAATCCATTCGTCGTGCAAATGGCGTTAGTGCCAAATCAGGTTTTGCACGTGCAGTCGATCACGTGATCTTCGCATCGAAGTTTTCTTCATATGCACGTGTTTGCATTGGCCTCAAGAATTGAAAAAACACTTTTAAACCACAGTTCTAACTGTGCTTGAAATGCCAAGATTGTCAAATGTGCAACGTGAACGTGCCGTCGGCATGTTGCAAGCGGGAAGATCAGTTATTGACGTCGCAAGAGCAATGAGATGCAGCCGTCGTACTGTGTATGACTTGCGAGGTCGTCTACAACAAACTGGCACCACTTCTGATCGCCCAAGGTCGGGTTGTCCACGTGTGACGTCACGAGAAGAAGACCGTCAAAACGTCCTACGTCACCTACGTGACAGATTTCTGCCGGCTACACGAACCAGGGCTGAGATGTTTAGAGGTCGACTGTCCTCACAGACCATTCAAAATCGGTTGCGGGCTGCCAATCTCCATTCTCGACGTCCATATCGTGAACTCGTTCCTTTCATGGCGGCTCTTGGCCCAGGTCTACAGTTCCAGCATGTTATTGCTCTGCCGCATACCGCGATGTTGAAACGAAATGTCCTTCAAAACACTGGAATCAACGTCATGGACTGGCCATCGAGGTCTCCTGAAATTAATCCAATAGAGTACGTTTGGGATGAACTTGGGAGAAGGCTTCGTGGTCTTAGGAACCAACCTCAGAATTTGCAGGAACTTGGCGCTGCCTTGCAAGAGCAATGGCGCAGAATCCCCAACCACGTGTTCACAAGCATCAGGCAGTCGATGAGGAGACGGTGTTTGGCAGTGGTGAATGCGCGGGGCGGCCATACACGATATTGAACTGAGAAATTTCGCATTTTATTCTTGTGAGTTGACATTCTGTATACCCATGTTTTTTGGAACGGCGGTGTATCCTAATGGAACTGATTATGGCACTGTGAGTGTATCGAGTACATCACACAGATCTCAGCAATGAAATAAAACAATTTAACCATCTTACCATCTCTTGTTCTTTATTAGTGCCCTGAAGAAAGAATGTGAAGTTTCTTTTTTGACTCAGTATATATATATATATTATTGCTACTTGATTAGCATTAAATCTACTGGAACATGTGATAGCTATGAAGGTATTACTTCATTCATTGCAATCTTCGTTACCATACTTTGAGGAGCGAGTACAAAATTGAGGCGAAAGATATGTTGCAGTTTAGGGTCAATATCAATATGTCTAAAAAATCTATGTGATATTAACAGAAATGATACAAGCTTCACGAAATACAAATTTGGCAATCTTTTGAAAAGATAGCTAACGACAACCAAATATAGTGATCATTTCCAAATGCTTCTACCGAAGAAATTATCAACAGTAGAACAATTCTTTAAAATATCGTGAAACTATATCCCTATAATGAAGTAAATTAACAAGCAATCTTACCTGTTTCGTAGGGAATTTCCCGAATAAAGATGAAGTTTCCCTTCCACATTTGTTTTGTTTATTAAGATAATCCCTTCATTTTTTCATAGGTTTTACATTCATGTACGCACAACATATGGGAAGTGATTTTAAACGCCTATGATTGTAAACATACTAATTGTATCAATTTGTTTAAACACTACAGCTTTGGCGATACCAAGAATGAATAAATTGTGACACATGTTTTGATTGTTACAAACAAAATAGTGATTTCGAGTTGATTTCTACGATTTATACCATGTTTACATGGTAGTACTGGATGCGTATTTGACTTTTATTCGTGTTTATTCGTTTCCTAAACAAGTAGAAATCAAAACGACAGAAGAAATAGGTAATTGGGCATTCTCTCTGAGAATGGGTGAGGGGGTTCTAGGGGGAAAGGAGAACCTGAAAATCAATCCTAAATTTACAAAAAATACAAGCTTGATTGGTATTTTCAAAGCTTGTAAATTTTTGTGACCCCAACCCCTTTTTTCCTATTGACAAGCCAACGTCTTGTCCCTGATTGAGCCGAGGATGGAATGTTTTATGCCAGATGCAAGGTTCTATGCAGGATACAATGTTATATACAGGATACAATGTTCAATGCAGGATGCAAGGTTCTATGCTTCATGTAATGCACTATGTAAGATACACGGTTCTATGCTTTATCCAATGCATTATGCTTTTGGCAATGTACTATGCAGGATTCAATGTTCTATGCGGGATGCAAGGTTCTATGCAGGATACAATGTTCTATACAGGATACAATGTTTTATACAGGATGCAATGTTCTATGCGGGATGCAAGGTTATATGCGGGATGCAAGATTCTATGCAGGATACAATGTTCTATGCAGGATGCAAGGTTCTATGCTTCATGTAATGCACTATGTAAGATACACGGTTCTATGCTTTATCCAATGCATTATGCTTTTAGGAATGTACTATGCAGGATTCAATGTTCTATGCTGGATGCAATGTTCTATGCAGGATACAATGTTTTATGAAGGATTCAATGTTTTATGTAGGATTCAATGTTCTATGTTTCAGCTAACGACGTGAGCAATGTGCACAGCGGATCACCAGTAAGATCACTGCTTGAGGAGAGGTCAACATCGGGAAAGAGCTCAAACTGTTCGGGACCAGGTAAGCTTTCATTTTAAGTGCCCATGAGTTGGTCGTCATACAATGTACATCAGATAATTTATGAATGACAACGATGACGCTCACTTGTAATCTATGCTTTCAATACACACTCACAATTCCGAAACCGTCCAATATTTTTGCTATTTACAAACCTTTGGCACTGTCATTTTTTTCTCAATTTCCTTGGACTTAGTCTCACAAAAAGGGTGGATTTCGTTCGTTCGTCACCATGACACATAAACCACTTAATACCTAGCAACAAAACTTAGCAGACATATCAAACAGATCCTGAAGTGGTGTCTTTCGGAGTTTGGGACATTTTATATTTTTCTTGATTTCCATGGAAGCAATTTGGTCTAGTTATCTCAAGGAGGGTTGGATTTCGTTTCCGGAGTTAAACTTGAAAACCATGAAAGATGTACATGCACCAAACCTGGAACTTGTGTTGCCTTTTGCTATTTAGGAATTTTTCAAAATTTGATTTTCCCGGTTTCCATGGAAACAAGTCAGAGTTAGCTATTTGTAGATTATGGGAATTGTATTTTTTTCCATTACCATGGAAACGAGTTGGACTCAAAGGCAGGGGGTGGATTTCGTTTCCGTGCACCGCCAAAAAATTTCGAAGTCTTTCCACCCCAGTCTGCCATGATTTTTTCTTTTGATATTACGGAATTTTCTGGAAAGGAAAGCCTTTCCTGATTCCACAGCAACAAGTTTGACCTTGACTTTGTTCGTAGTGGTGAGTTTGTCCTGACCATATCTCTAAAACTCTAAAACTCTGTACACACACAGACCGGGCCGAGGTTGTCAAATAGTGCCTTGTGCTACTGGGTGGTTAAGTATTTAGAATTTAGAAAAATAATGCTTTGTTTGTTTTCATATGAATTTGAAGAAAACGAATTTGTTTCCTGTTTCCATGGCAACAAGTTTGATATTGACTCTGTTAATATCGTTCTGTTTGTGAGGACCATAACTCGAAAGAAGAGGGTAGAACAAAATCCCATTTGACAAAATGCCTGCACACTGCGGACAAAATCAGTGTGAAAAATGACATACACTTTATTTTGAAATAGATATTTACTCATGACTAAACTCATAATAACTCTCATTTAACTCATTCATGGGATTTTGTCCTATGTTGTTTATTTTGGTGTGGAATCTTGTCCAAAGACATTTTGTGCTATGAGATTTTGTCAGGGTGGGATTTTGTCAGCCCCACCCTACTAGGTAATCTTTCATGAAACTGTGAACAAACGGAAACCAGGTCGTCAACTGCCGTAGTTTGCTGTTACAGTTTCTTAAAATTTGTGTTTTTCCTTTGACGTTGATGTTGGTGTCAACCTGACATAGAAGCACAAAGTTACGACCCCCAGTTCCATATAATTGGTTTCACAGCTCAGTAACTACTCTTGTATGCGGACGGACAGATAAGAGAGACATACTCCCATCGAGTTGGACTTTAAGTAACTGTCAGATAATTTTTGTTTGTGGGGGCCGGGGGGATTTGTCATCTTCTGATGACTCTTGTCTATGGAGATGATCTCCTGTGTGTATCTCTTGCGATAAAGTGTTCACCATCAAGCATATTCTGCTTGACTGTGTGGACTTTTCATATGCATGGGATTCACCTGATGAAGCAACACATCTGAAAGAGCGTGCATCTCTTTGTAAACTACCTGAGGGAAATTGGTCTCTATCATAAATGGTAACTAACTGAAGGTGTGACAAATTGCTTTTTTATAATTTGGTGTTACAGCTTTTTGATTTGCAAATGATACTGTAATGGAAAAATACGCATTTTAAGAGACTCCTTTGGACTTTGTATTTGAGATGAGTATGTGTGCAGACCTTTACAAAACAACTTAACTCAGCCATAAAGACGAACTTCCATGTTGGCTGAGCGATCAAATTAGCTGTTTGAAACAGAGGTGTTAAATAAGATTTGAAACCTCTGGTGAACCACCCTGGAACGAATGTTTTCTAAATTCACGTTCTCTATTCTGAATTCTATTTAAGAGATATCACAATTCAGTTGTCACCGTTTTGAGTTACTGCTTAAGAGAGATTGAACTGTATCATAAATTGTAACTTTGTAATTGTTTGAGACAAATTGCTTATTTTTTTATTTATTGTTTTTTTGGGTGGGTGGGTGGTTAGGGGATTTGGTGCTATGACCTTTTCTGTTTCTAAATAATAATGTAATAAATGTATACGTTTTAAACAAACCAAACTCATATGGCCTTTGTACCTTAAAATGTCTACGGATGCAGACTTGATCTCGTCACTATATGGCTGGAGTAATCCCGATGTGACGTAAAGCCTAACTCAACTCAAATTCTTTAAGAAATATACTGTCTATTCTCGTTGACCGACTTGCTCAGCTCTGTGAAGGAATAACCAGTTTATACTAATTATGGCTTTGTTGATAATTGTGTAATGAAGACATATACATTTTAAGAAACTCGTTTAAACTCAAATATGTATATGAGCAGACTTGGTCTCGTCGATATATGGCTGAAACAATGGCGAGGCGACGTAAAACTCGATTCAGCTCAACTCCTTATTAAGTTTGCTGTAGGGAAATCTATAAAGTTTGCTATTTTCCCCAGCCGATAGTGAAATGTTCTAGGAACTACCGAAACTGTAGGAAAGCATGTAAAGTTTGCTTTTTGACCGAGCCACAAGGTTTGGTATTCCAATATTGTAGGAACTGCCAAGACTGACAAAAGATACTGTGTACCTGGCTTTTTCCGCTTCGTTCATCAAGCAGCAGGGATATATTCTTGTCACTGCAATACTATGGGCACTGAAAACAACGCGGTGAGTACACATGATATGTATCACTGTTACAATGGAATGTATGCTGTTCTGCAGTTTATTGTTCTGCATTCTATTTATTTTCATGCATTCTAAGCAAAACATATCTGTTGATTGGTCATATATTTTAAATTTTTGTTGTTGTCATTTAACAGCGCATTTAGATATATTCCAGCTACATGGCGGCAGTCGCCTCTGGGCTAGACAATCCGTTGATGAACAGTTGAGCATCGATCTATGCAATTGGGATACGATGACATGTGTCAACCATCTCAGTGAGCCTCACACACACACACACACACACACACACACACACACACACACACACACACACACACACACACACACACACACACACACACACACACACACACACACACACCCGATCCCGTTAGTCGCTTCTTACCACACGTATTTGTTGCTGAAGATCATTCTATCTCGGATCTTCAAGGGTTCTTCTTCGGGATGTTGAGTATAACAGTTCAACAGCAAGGTGTAATTGTAGTTTAGAAAGCTGTGAGCTGGCCATCAACATTTCCTATATGCCATATTTGCGCATATCATAAAGCAAACGGGCTGCGTCAGCCTGGTTGGTTAGGGCACAGTGTTGAATGGCATTAAAGTCAGTTCTGGAATTTTCGTTGCATCCTTCGTTGGAACAGAGACACACGACAGGTGAAATGGTTATTTTGAAATATATCATGTTTAAATGTTAACAGAAATGTTCTTTATATTCTGATATTTTATAACTTGAAGAGCATAACATATTTGGAGGTTTGCAGCTGTTATTCATCATGCAATGCTTTTGAAGTTCCACCTGCTCTCTAGTTCATACTAGAAGAAGATGGTTTGCTTTGATCAGTATGTACCATTCATCATGACACGTAAGTCAATATATAGAACTGGCCTTCAGCAACCCATGCTTGTCGTAAAAAGCGACTAACGAGATTGGGTGGTCCGACTCGCTGACTTGGCTGACACATGTCATCGTATGTCAGTTGCGTAGATCGATGCTCATAGTGATCACTGGATTGTCTGGTCCTATCTCGATTATTTGCATACCCCTGCCACAAAGCTGGTAGCTGAAATATTACTGAGTGAGTGAGTGAGTGTCGGTATCTGGAATATGATTGATTGATTGATTGAGTGAGTGAGTGAGTGCCGGTATCTGGAATATGAGTGTGTGAGTGAGTGAGTGAATGAGTGAGTGTGGTATCTGCAATATGAATGAGTGAGTGAGTGACGGTACTGGAATATGAGTGAGTGAGTGCCGGGATCTGGAATATGAGTGAGTGAGTGGGTGTGTGCCGGTATCTGGAGTGAGTGAGTAGTCCATCGCCCTTACACACGTAAACCAAACCAGTCCCTTGGCAATATTCATTTTCTGTCTCCAGAGAAAGGTTCCTCTGAGAAGAAGTCTGAAACTCCGGGACAAAATGACATTCCAGTTATCAACATTCCGATTTTCGAAATGGTTTGTACATCTGCCAATCCCTCCTACAGTGGTAGCTAAAGCTGCATGTACGTTTTTTAATTTTGAGACATACAACGAATGAAAAAAAAACTTGTCCATTAGAGAGAATGTGTTTACTAGTAATACCAGACAGCCCTGGGCTAATTTGTTATAAAAAACATTTAAATATCAAATAATGTTTTAAATACATTCTGATATTCGAAATGGTTTGTACATCTGCCAATCCCTCCTACAGTGGTCGCTAATGCTGCATGTAGGTTTATTAATTTTGAGCCATACATTTTCTCACAACGAATGAAATAAAAACCTTGCCCATTAGAGAGAATGTGTTTACTAGTAATACCAGACAGCCCTGAGCTAATTTGTTACAAAAAACATTTTAATATCAAATAATGTTTTAAATACATTCCCCGGGTTCAACGTCAAATATTCTGCAGTGTAGAACTGGTGGTGATAACTGGCGGTAAAATCCGATTTGGGTCGGTTCGAATCCCCCTTTTAGCGTGATATTGATCCTTTGTCAGTAACACATCAGCATATCCCCATGAAAAAGTTGTTTATTATATCAATCACTGGGTTGACCCTTAAAACTTATATACCTCTGAAGATCCGGGTTAAAATTTGTCTTCAGCAACCCATTCTTGTCGTGAGGCGACTAACAGGATCAGGTAGTCAGGCTTGCTGATGTGGTTGACACATGTCATCGTATCTCAGTATCGTAGATTGATGCTCATGATGTTGATCACTGGATCGTCTGGTCCAGATCCGATTATTTACAAACCGCCGTTACATGGCTGAAAGTGCCTAGTGTGGCGGTCAACAAACACAAACTAAACACAATATTCAAGATTGAGAAATTCCTTTTCCATTTTGTGTCTGACATTTCATTGGAATATATAATCTTAAAACATCCATTCTGAATCTAAATTGAACTATAACTCTTCGAATTTCTTAGGTTTGGCATCACCCTGGAAAACGACGAAATGACCCCTTTAGACATCTATGTAGAATCTAAGGACGGCAAAAACCTCAACTTCATGACTTTTACCAGTCACAGGCCACCAGCCAAATCAACATGGGAAACAGCAGAAGGATGTCCTGACCTAGCATGGACGACATTCGTGCTAGCAGTAGTGTTACAGTGGAATGACTTTCAGGTACACTATCACCAGGACCCGTCAAGATCCGGGTTAGAATTGGTCTTCAGTAATCCATGCTTGTCGTAAGAGGCGACTAACGGGATCGGGTGGTCAGGCTCGCTGACTTGGTTGACATCGTATCCAAGTTGCGTTGACCGATGATCATGCTGTCGATTTTACAGGATTATCTGGTCCAGACTCGATAATTTACAGACCGCCTCCATACGACTGGGGAGCGGTGGGTTAGTCTAGTGGTTAAAGCGTTTGCTCGTCACACCGTACACACGGGTTCCCCACATGGGTACAATGTGTGAAGCCCACTTCTGGTGTCCCCCACCGTGATATTGCTGGAATATTGTCCCCTCAATGTTCACCACAGAACTATCAGTCCTTTACGGGCCCGATACCAGCAAACCAATTCCCTGCAAGATCGGCCTCAAACTTGTAGACCTCAGATTACCACTGCAGCGCAGGATAGGTACATCCCAGTATATCATTTGCGGAGTCGAACTGTCACAGCGACTGCACTTGAAACATTAAGGAGAGTGTCGGCGTAGACCATTTGTAATCGTTTACGAGAAGCTGGACTTTGAGCCAGAAAACTCTAATTTGGTTCTGCTTGGGGCTCATGGTGGCACCAGCAGACATTGAAGACGACGCCCAAATGGGAACGGAAGCTTTCACTTATTGAACTGTTTACAAGCTATATATGTTAACAGACATTTATTTGATCTTTTATGCTGTTATTTTTTGGCTGCAACTAATCAAAAATTACATCTGTTATTTCACTTAAAGTTGGCAGATTGAAATACATGTATACACCTATGCGTTTCTTTCTGTTTTGGCCCATAACTAGCTCATGCAGATTAAGGGTTTTGGGTGAAGACAGTTAAAACATAGTGATACATGGTTCTACAGTCATGAATGAGCCCATATTCCAGTTTAAAATATGTCAGCCTTACTTTAAGCGAAAGGAAAATTGATTGAATTACTAATTTCAGGTGTCTGTTGATGACAATTTGGTGTTCACTCTGAAGATCCCCGAGCCGAAACCAGTGAACGCTGTCACAGTGGCAGGAGATGTTAAAGTCAGGAAAATTTACATAGAGTGATACATTTCAAGATATCACACTTACAACTGTTAATTTTCCAACAATTCGATTTGTCTTATAGATTACACTTAATGCTTTTGTTTATTGTTCCAAGGACACGGTGTAACTATAGTCAACAATATCACAACTGAGAAAGACATAAAATGTTTTACAAGCACTACAGAATTATGAAACAATGTCCATGTCTTTATTTTAAACAATGGCTTGAAAATGGAATAATGATGTTTTTATGCTTTGTGATTATGGATGGATGGTCTCATGTGTGACTGAGCGACTGGGAGTTTAATAAGGGCTACCCAGCTCTCACCACAAGGAGGTTGCTCTTCACGTCTGATTCATGGGGCTGGAAGCCAATTCATATTTTGGCAGAAATATTATTATCATTTTGAACAAACCAAAAGTGTTTTTTTTCTCAAAAACCACAATCTTTGTAAACATTCCATGCCTATGGCGTGACCAGCTGATTGATAGAACTGAGCCTATTCTACCACCCGTCAAGGCAAAGTGTGTTGGATAATTGCCAGCTCCGGTAACCTCAACTACCAGACGCCATATCTGCCCACCAGGGACGCAACCAACGGTAAACACGTGGCCAAATTTGGTCGCTTTTTACGACCAGCAATGGGTCTGGATCCTTGTGCAGTTTGTATTTACGGCAAAAGTGAATACAATTTGTTTTGGATTTTAAAAACGTAAAGCCATTTTCATTGGCCCATTTTATAATTTTGTTGATGTAGAGTTGTAGCTGCTTTTCTATTGCGTGCATGTTCTTACCACGGTATGAAATATTGAAATCTTCCACGAAAAGGGACCCATCAACACAACTGTTTAAGACGTTAGTGAGGCTGTTAAGTTTGATGCTAAAATGTGTGACAGACAGGATGCTGCCTTGGGGGACGCCCTGTGTGACAGACAGGATGCTGCCTTGGGGGACGCCCTGTGTGACAGACAGGATGCTGCCTTGGGGGACGCCCTGGTCCTGATGGAAATAATCAGACAACGTGGAACCCACCCGTTCTTGAAATTGTCTGTTGTTTAGAAACTGAGGTAATCTGCCCCCGATCCCCGATCGCGTCATATCAAAAGACGTTAAAATATGGTACTTGTTAGTCCCTGCCTGCCGCTCGGCATTAATGGGTACAACAAGGACTGGTCGGTTCGGAGTCAGTATAATGTGTCTCAGTGTGCTCGCACTATAAAACCAGCTTCAGTCTTGGCTAGTACAAGCAGCCGCACATACACATACACACGCATGCACGTCGTCACATGAGCGAAATATTCTCAAGCACGACGTAAAACCCAATTTCATATCACATCACATCACATCACATCACATCACATCACATCACATCACATCACACCATATCATATCACATCATACCATACCATACCATATCATACCATATCATATTCCATGACAGGGTTTTGGTTAAGTAAACACCTAAATATTTATAGAACAATGTTATATCTACAAATTCTCCTTTGAAAAATTATTATTCTTTACCCGATATTTTGCCACTTTTATAAAAAACTACAACTTTCGTTTAATCTTTGTTGTACACTTAGTTTGCAATTATCACAATAATTCTCTATTTCATCACGTCGACCATTATACAGTGCTGGAAAATAATATGATATCATCTGCAAATAGAAGCAAAAACAGCTGCGTAATATCGGGGATGTAGTTGGATGCCATGATTGCAATTTTCATGAATTTGAGTTGCTAAATAATTGCTCTACTTAATATAGGCCTGTTCCTAATCGAGTCTAGACCAGACAATCAACAGCATAAACTTGAATCTACGCAGTTGGAGAACAATGAAACCAGGTGAACGAGCCTGACCATCCTATCTAATTGGTCGTATCTTGCGCCAAGCATGGGTTACTAAAGACCAAGTTTAACCCGGATCTTCACGGGTCATATATCAAAATGAAATACACTGTAAATGGTCATTTCAAGTTCTATAATTCGTTTGTCTTAAATACATCAATGCCCCAGTATACTTGGCAATAGTTCCAAGGAGTTAGAGGTATAACTAAACTAAACATTGTTACTCGCTCATTATAGTTGAGAAAGACAGTAACATTTTTATAAATATTACGAGAATTTTGTAAAATTTGGTATACATTTGTCTGTATTTGGAATAGTGGCTTGAAAATGGAATCAGATTGTCTCCAAGCTTTGTCCTTTATCACACATCGATGGTCTTTTGCCTTATGTGGGCGACTGTGATTTCTTGAGGGCATTAGGTGTCTGTATATTTGTGAATAAACAATGCCATTTTGAAAGTGGTCAAATGTTACATAATTGGGATTACACTTAACAGTAAACAGCACACAACGTCAGCTATTTAACCCACTCAGTAACTGCTGAGTGGAACTCGGACAGCTGGTAGTCTACATCACGTGTTTTGTGTATCTCTCTGACAAGTGTACCTTGGTACGGTTACTAATCATCGAAAAATACGAATAGACAATGTCATTTAGTGGAAGCCGCGCCGAGTGGGTTAGAAGGCTGACGTTGTGCGCTGGTGATAAGGTGCCTGTTTCTAAGAGCGTGGGTTCGAATCCTGGATTGGACTCAACCTAACAAAAGTACAAGAATCTGTCATCCTATATACATATGTTATTTCTACATATTCGATGTTGAGGGTGTACACCACCATCATGCATCCTAAACAAGTATCTGAATGAGAATAAATGTAATGAGTGCGTGAGTGAGTTAAGTTTTACGCTGTTTTCAGCAATATTCCAGCAGGATATATCACGGCGGGGAAAATCAGAGATAGGTTTCACACATTGTACCCATTTGGGGAATAGAACTGGGGTCTTCGGCGTGATGAACGAAAGCTTTAACCACTAGGCTACCCAACCGCCCCAAAATATTCAATGAGTGAGTTAGTACACGTTTACAATCACATTGGCTATATTTCAGTCATATCTTGACTAAAACAGGTCATACTTAAATCTTTTATAACGTTATATTCTAAAGTGTATCGCCGAAGGAGGGTAAAACAACTATAATATCATAATTAGAGATTTCAAATTTGCATGTTACTTCACATTATATACTATCTAAGGCATTACAATATAAAATGGGCCATAGATCACCAGCAACTGAAGGTAGATCACCATACTAAGGACCATGGGGACTTACAGTACATTTGCTACCTGCATGGACCCTAGCTGGATTTACACCATCCCTTCAGCCGCTGGCGATTGTAGTGAGATTTAACGATCATTTAAAACAACAAATATTCCACGATAAAAGAATCGGCAGACCAAAATGGACATTGAAAGTTTTGAGACTTACATATCCTCTCAGGAGGACAATAAGTTTACATTTAACCCCCTTCAAGGATACAGCCACTAACAATCTCGACTAGAATTCAATGGTCTGGATAATGCCATTTCTTTTTATTTAAACGTGGAAAACATCACACGTCAGTTTCACCTGAATGGCTCTCTGTAAGTACAACTTGCCATTTAAACTTGATCGAATGAAAATAAATCAACAAAGGCAGATTAAATTCTTGTCCAGAAGTATATGTCCGCGCCTGAATACTAACTCTACACATGAGGATTAATAGAACACCACTTGAATAAAACGTCAAGTTTCAAGATTTTGGTGAAAACAGTCAGTCATGTCCTAACACACTGCAATACACATGTAAAGTAAGTGCTGTAAACAATTTCTCAAAACATATATCCACATGCTCACGTGCATCCAAGGCCCCAAGTATGTTGGGGTGTACATTTCATAAGTGTAATATTAATGTGAACTAACGTTTTCCAACTTGATACACAAGACCAGCCGTTCCCGTTAGTCGATTCTTTCGATAAGCATGAGCTGCTGACAACCAGTTCTTCATCTCTATAAGAACACCATTAGTCGTGTCAAAGAGATATATAACTTGTCAAGTCGGCTGTTTGCAGTTTTGACAAAGAACAAACTTAACAGACCATTTCGATGTATTTCAGGAGATTTTACCATTTAATATATATAGCCTTTGTCTTATTTGCTCTATACGAGATCAATGTCCAAAAAAATCAGACGCAGAAAGGTCTATCCGTTTGCAATGGCAATTCTTTACAGCAATTCTGTTGTCATACGAGCGTCGGTCAAATAGTAGTCGGCCTTAGTATATTCTCGATGTCCAGTGTTTGAAAGCTTCCATTTTATTTTGAAGGAATCATTAGTAAAGCCATATCCAACCTTTCACATACGTGGGTAATGTGGTTAACGAGATATTAATTAGCACAACACATTGAAGTATACAATTTCTAGAAGATTTGCAAAAAATGAAATCATATGTTCCGCTGTTGTCTCTTTGTCAGATATGTATTTAACGTTTGTCACAGTTATGGCAGCACATGCTCACCTTTTTCGACCCCCTAGAATCATAACTGTATAATATGTTTATCGACTGGTAAGGTGTTGGACAGTCTCATTATATTGTTTTACCATTCATAACCCGATAACATTCTCGAGTGGGGCGTGACTGGTCCTTAGCGGCAAACAGAAACCCTCTCTGTAATCGCGTGACCAGCCACATGACATCTCGTGATAGGTGTCGCTAGTGTGTCAGTCATGTGACATCACGTGATAGGTGTCGCTAGTGTGTCAGTCATGCTCAGTACATTCCCGCGAGCAGACGCCAAATGTCGGAAGAGAACCAAACAACGTGTTTAACCGGAGATTAGGTAATTGCTGAACTGTGTTTTAAGATTGATGATGCTTTGAAACGCCACGACCACTGAGAGAGGCGTATTGGTGACTTACAGAACAGTGCGGCCGCTCCTGAGGGTCAACAACTGACCGCGCGAGGTCTGACGTCACCAGTCAACCTTTGTGACGAAGTGCTCACATTCAAACATTTTCTCCTTGACTGTGTGGACTTTTCAAATGCAAGTGATTCACACTATCTAGCCATATATCTAGAACATCTGTTTTCCCACGTGAACGGGTATCTCAC